AGAGAGAGAGAGAGAGAGAGATCTGTGGAAGACCATAGTTACCAACGTACTGTTTGGATATGGTACCTAGAGACAAAGAGATCTATGGAAGACCATAGTTACCAACGTACTGTTTGGATATGGTACCTAGAGATCTGTGGAAGACCATAGTTACCAACGTACTGTTTGGATATGGTACCTAGAGACAAAGAGATCTATGGAAGACCATAGTTACCAACGTACTGTTTGGATATGGTACCTAGAGATCTGTGGAAGACCATAGTTACCAACGTACTGTTTGGATATGGTACCTAGAGATCTGTGGAAGACCATAGTTACCAACGTACTGTTTGGATATGGTACCTAGAGATAAAGAGATCTGTGGAAGACATAGTTACCAACGTACTGTTTGGATAGGGTACCTAGAGAGAGTCTGTGGAAGATCATAGTTACCAACGTTCTGGTTGGATATGGTACCTAGAAAGAGAGGGATCTGTGGAAGACCATAGTTACCAACATACTGTTTGGATATGGTACAGAGAGAGAGAGAGATCTGTGGAAGACCATGGTCACCAACGTACTATTTGGATATGGTACCTAGAGAGATTTGTGGAAGACCATGGTCACCAACGTACTGTTTGGATATGGTACCTAGATAGATCTGTAGAAGACCATGGTCACCAACGTACTGTTTGGATATGGTACATAGAGAGATCTGTGGAAGACCATGGTCACCAACGTACTGTTTGGATATGGTACATAGAGAGATCTGTGGAAGACCATGGTCACCAACGTACTGTTTGGATATGGTACCTAGAGAGATCTGTGGAAGACCATGGTCATCAACGTACTGTTTGGATATGGTACCTAGATAGATCTTTAGAAGACCATGGTCACCAACGTACTGTTTGGATATGGTACCTAGAGAGATCTGTAGAAGACCATGGTCACCAACGTACTGTTTGGATATGGTACCTAGAGAGATCTGTAGAAGACCATGGTCACCAACGTACTGTTTGGATATGGTACCTAGAG